TCTAACACATTTACCAACACAGTGATTTCAAGAAAGTAATTTAACCACTCTAAGTCTGTTTCCCCACCTAAAAAAGGAAGACAGTAATAAGGCTAACCTATAAAGATGCTGTGAGGATTAAATGATATGATGTATACACAACCTCTAATATAGCACTCAACAAATAAAAACAACAGCCATCACCTTTGCTATTATTATTATTTCATTCACTTGTCAAGTAAGCTGTACAAGAGATTACTATCTTGGGTGGAAGTTGAACTAGATGACCTTATCTCTTATAATAACAAAATTCTAAGAAAAATAAGGAATAAAATAGCATAGATTTCCTACTGCTTGCTACACAATGTTATACCTAAATTAGGTTACATTATTAAGATTATTATTACAAATTTTTGGAGAGGAGAAAAACTTAATATGCATGAAAAAAAATTACAAGAAGTAACTCCATAAAAATTTGTTAAGTGGGGATCACTGACAAGCATTTATAGATGCACTGTTTTTACAAAATGTCATTTTTGTACTGTCTATCTCACAGTGGCACTAGAGAGACAGGTTAAAGCAGTGGTACAGCTTGAAGCAACTAGGATGCTTTTGGTTGCAAATAACAGAAAACTCAAAAATAAAAAATGTCTTTAATAATAAGGACATTTATTATTTTACAGAAGTAGCAGCCTAGAAGTAGGATGATAATTCCAGGGTAATTTAGTTCAGAAGCTTACAAGGTTGTCAAGCGCCCAAGTTCTATCTTTCTGCTTTACCGCTTTCAACAGAGAGTTTCTGTCCTCAGATTTGTCCCCTACTGGCTATAGATCCAGATACAACAGGGAGACATAAAACCACTAGAAGCAGGAGGACTGTTTCCTCCCATATGTATTTCTACAATAGTAGGAAAATCTTTTCCAGAAGTTTCCATATTCTAAACAGGCTTTCCCTCAAGTCTCATTAGCCAGAACTATAGGATATGTCTATTGTTCATTGCTAACCAAGCACTGACAAGAATGGAATTACCACCATTAGACTCATCATTCACCACCTGTGCTGAGGCTTTTCCATTCTGAAACACAGAGGGCAAACTGAATCAGGGTTCTGTCAGAAAAGAAGAGGTGGGGAAATGTGATTAAAAGATTGAAATAAACATTCTCAGAATAAAAAGAGAAATGGAAAAGGTTTTTGTTGTAACCACAAGGTAAAAAACAAATCAATAAAAACAAATCAATAAATAACAAATCAGTAAGGCTGATTATGTCTGATTTTGTACCATACAGTTCAGGCTTCATACTGCCCAAATAGTCTATGCCACTCATTTTCACACTTAATTACATGCTGCCTCCTATTCTCTGAATATTTCCTATCTTATTTCCTTAACTGGACTGTAAACTTCTTGAGGATTAGAAACCAAATTTTTTACATAATTTTCAGTGCTAACGATACAAGAAACAGCAAACACCAACACTTATGAAAAGCTAACATATATTTATTTCCTATAATAAATAATTCCCCTTCTCAAGAAACCAGGCAGATTGAACATAAACATTCATCGCTGCTCTTTTCCAAAACCCAACTAAAATGACAGTAAAGAACTTTAAAAGGCATAAATTCACAAGAATAATGAGAATACAACAGAAGATCTCAGTTGACAAGAAATTTTAACAAAATTTTAGAAGGTGGCAAGAGTATGGACATGTTGCAACTGACAGCAGACCAGAGAAAGCTGAAATCTAAGGCTGCAGAAGGGGTGGATGGTTGGGGAGAGGGGCAATGAGAAGCAAGCCAACAGGCAGAGCACTACTCCAGAAAGACCCAGTAACCAGAGGTACCAGCTACCAGGTAACCAGGCGGATGTGCACAGTGGGGCTAAAAGCAGAAGCACTGGCTGAAAGTAGTCCACCAGATGCCCTCTCCACATGCCCAAGCAACTGCAATGCCCCATCACCACAGAAGACAACACTCCAGAAGAGTATGTGGTGGTTCCCCATTAAAATAGATCCTTACCTGTTCACCCTTCCAGGTAACAAGGCCCCTACTACTACCCTGCTACCCATACATACACACATACATAGGCACACACACACAAACACCTTCCAGTTCACACTCTTAAATATCAACAGCCAGCCAAAGAAAGCCTATTATACTATAGGCTGACACAAAAAAAGAAAGGAAGGGAGAAAGAAAGGAAAGGCGGAGGGAGGGAGAGAGAGAAATAAACAAAGAGAAAAGAAAACGAAGAAAGAAAGAAAAAAGGTATTCAGGGAAAACAGATAAGAAAGCAGAAGAAAACTTTAAAAAAAAAATAATACCAACACAAAGAAATGATGACACTGCATTCATGAAACAAGAACAGGAAGATTCTCTTTAAAAGAAAAAAAGAGAGAGAGAGAGAAGGAATTGAGAGAAAAAAAGAACACAGAAAAAATATGATCCTGGTTATTTCATCTTAGCTGGAATGTGGATGTGATAGCTGGAGCTGGAGCTGCCATTTTACAAGCTGAGGATCAGAAAGCAAGATTAAAAAAAAAGCCTGTGTCTTTCATGACTATTGAACTGCCACTGCAGGGCTAGACCCAACCCACTCCATAACTATGAGGGATTAAAAGTAAAAACAAAAAACCTCTATCTTATTTAATGCACTAGTTATATTTAGTGCACTTGTATTTTAACCATATTCTAATACAGTACATGCTACACAATAAGTTTTCCTCCAAACTCCTACAATATGAAACAAAAAAAACTATGTTCCAAGCATACTATCTTGTTGTTCCTATTAGCTAGGCTTAAATCTATCTTACATTAGTCAAGAAAGCTGACTGCTAACATTTTAAATTTCAGGATCACATTCTAATCACATCTGTCACGTGTAATAAAATGTGACGCTGAAGGACCTATGGAATATAGTCCCAGGTGTCCACGGCACACTACTCTCATTGTTTTTGGATGTTGCAGAATCACTCCACTAAGGCTTACCTTCAATTTTCCTTCAGTCTGACTTTCTTCTTTTAAATTCATACTGGATGACTGATGGCTAACATAATAAATATCTCATCTTTCTACACCCTTCCCCCAGGAAAAGTATGCCTTTTTGAAAGGGAGGCACTGTCAAACACCTGGAGTCCAAACTCAGTTCTTAACTCTTTTGTCCACAGTGAACACTGCAGCTTTTAAATGTTTTTACATTGCCATAAACTATCTATTAAAATATGCTATTCAATCTTACATAGACAAAAAGTCACTTTCATAATTAAACTAGAAATCCTAGAGACAGCAGAATGATCAAGAATATGGAATAAAACATAGATCAAGATGAGTTTAACTGCTTAGCTTCAGACATCACTTATAAATTAAAATTATTCTGATATTGTCTAAAAATTTCAAAATAAGTAAAAATTTCACAAAATGTTAAAGGGAAAATGTTCTGGCAGAGAAAGTTCAATATAACTCTGGAATAATTTTCTTATGAAGTCTGGCACAACTAATCAAATCAGTAATAGACCTATTCCTAACCTCACCCACCTTTCTCCCAGGGTTCTGGCTTTTCCACTGACGACTGATTGGATGGTACACGTGGCTAGGATCTGCGGGTAATGATGGGAGGCACTTTTGTACACAACAAATACAAGAAAGGGGAAATCGAAGACATGCCAAACCTCAAAGGTAAAATAAGACAATAAAGGAAAGAAATAGTCTTAATAGACCATACTCCACCTATTTCTCCTTTTAGAACCAATTCATCTGCCGAATTCTTGTCATCTTTGTAACTGAGCACTTCAATATGAGCTCAGGACTTTGAAACGCGCCTTATCAAAACCTCCCACCTGGATGTGATCAGTCGAAAATACAACTCTATTTCTATACTGTTATAGAGGTAAAAGAACAAGTCCTCCTCATTAATCAAAGCATGGAACCCTTTAATCTGTTTTTGCTCCTGACAAGAATAACCAGTTTACCAGACAACTCCTCCCTTCTTAAAAGGTACAGTCCTATTGCTTACGAATAAAGAAGAAATTAAAGGATGATGAAATATTCATCTTGAATTCTACATACCATCTTATCTACATTGAAATTTTCACTTCATATTCTTGGTACCTATTTTCTATACTTTTTAAAAAGACTTAAGTACTAGGAAGACAGATGGTATCTATGGGAGAAAAAGCTGACACTTCTTACTTGCATAAGGTACTCAGTGGAGGGTAATAAATATTGTTTATATTTACCACTTCCAGACTCCTGGCCCCCCAAAATCAATGGAGGGCCACACGAATTAAAATTTATACTAAGGGAGGTCCTTTTGAAGGAGCAGATACCACTGGCCTGTCCCACAGCAAATAAGACGATATAACCTGCCAAATCAACGCTCAGTACTCAGTAAACCCAATGCTCCCATAAACGCCACAACGACTCCACCAGACCCTGGCCAGTCCAGGCTCTATGCAACCTCCACCATGGTCCATGAGACTAGCTCTTCCCTCTACTTATTTCCTAAACTGACCTTGAGGCACTATTTCTCAATTTTGGGCTTTCCTCAAAGGGAAGCAGTGAAGTTGGGAAATTCCCTCACATCACACAATGATTTACCTCTTTAATCTATGTGCACCTGAGGAGGATAGGTGTTACTGACAGACACACACTCAAAGTTCAAAAAACTTGCCATGGGGTGAATGAAACTAAGGCAGGCCCCTCAGCCAACGCTCGTTGCCTTCACATTATGGTGCACTATCAAACTCTGTATTTTAATTATTAACTGCCTAATACGTTAAGTACAATTAAAAAGGTGTAGGTTCTATTCTTACATCCCTTCCTAAAAAAAGGAATGATATGAGGCATATTTATAAAACAGAAAAACCAGATTAAAAAAATGAATAATGTTGCTAAGTCAACAGGAGTTATGTTTTAGCAAAGCCCTTTATCTAATATTCTAAATTTAGCTGAAATGCACAACAAATACATATCAAATATATACATATATATGTAACTGTTTGTCTTGTGGTAGAAAATGAAAAATTCACCTTCTCAATATTTATCTGGTGCTTTCTTAACCTCTCCAGGTCTGTTGGAATCACTATCTTAATGAATTTCTGGATAGCTGGTTCAAGACGGCGTAATTTCACTTTTTCTTCATCTTCAGACATCCTAAAAAATGTTGTGTCACTTCTACTTGCAACCACTGTCTTCTCCACTCATACAGAAAAACCTAAAAGGGAAATATTTATTTAAGAATGTTTTTAAATCAGTTTTCATTACTTTTAACAGCCAACAATTAGGTAATTTTATAATTTATTCTAAATATGTATTCCACTTAATGCTGAATTTGAGTGACTTGTTTTTCTTTAAGAAACTTTTTATTTTAAAACTTTTTTCTCTCTACAAAAGTAATGTATATTCACTTTAGAATGTTTAGAAAATATGAAAAAGAGAAGAAAATAAAATCAACAATCATCTCCTCTCCCATCATTTACTACTCTTTCCATTTTTTTTCCCTCCCATCCTCTACTGTTTCCATTTTGAGGTATGTCTCTCCACTGCTTAAACAAGATCTTTTTCTATATAAAGAAGTATATACATATGTATGTATTTAAATACTTTTTTTAAAAAACTAGGAGTATACTGTCCAAGTTTTCATTTCCCAATGTATCTTGGACATTAAATAACCTTTTTTAAAAAGATGTAAAATGGCAAAATTGGAAGAAAAATTTTTCTTAACATTTCTACTTGTATCAAACGCCACTTCTAATGTCATCATAATTTAACTATGTAATTATACACTTCAAATATATTATAACATAATATGTAACTCTTCTCATTGAGGTCCTTTAAACTGCCTCTTTCCTTTCTTACAAAGTGATTAGCATTGTCTACAACCAATACAAATAACCAGTGATGAAGCCACAATAAGAACTCAGGATTCCTGAGAGTACAATCAAATGCTCTTTCTAATCCACCAGTAATTTTCTACCAGTGTTCCAGAAAGTTCAAGGGTATGTCTTTGGGGCTAGGGTAGGAGAGGCAGGGGTTGACAAGTGAGCTGAGTAAGCTCCAGGACCCCATGCCTGCTTCAATTAGAGAAAATTTACTTACATCTATTTCATAAATGTGAGCTTACTAGATTTTATATAAATAAGGGCTCCACTGCTTAACCAAGTTTGAAAACCACTACTGTACACCATGCTTTCATGCCATCTCATTAGCTACCTCTCCCAAAATTAAAAAAAAAAAGAAAAATTGGGCCAGCCTCATGGCACAGTCTGGCGTGCTCCACTTTGGTGGCCTGTGTTTGCAGGTTTGGATCCCAGGCGCAGACCTACACCACTCGTCAAGCCATGTTGTGACAGCGACCCACATACAAAATAGAGGAAGACTGGCACAGATGTTAGCTCAGGGCTCATCTCCCTCAAGTAAAAAAAGAGGAAGATTGGCAATAGATGTTAGCTCAGAGTGAGTCTTCCTCACCAAAAAAAAAAAAATTAAGTTGACTATATTAATCCCATTGGGTTATGGTGTCTTAGACTAGGATGCATACAGATCAGAGTTCACAAATAGACTCTGTGGAGTCCCTGAATCTTTATGAAAAATTGTGAATGTATTTTTGAGTTATTTCAGAGGACAGAGTCCACTGCTTTCATGAGATCATCAAAGAGCTCTATCACCCCAGAAGCATTATGTTCTAAATAATGTTCTGTTTCTCTCTTTCACAGTTGAAAATCTTGAAGTGTTGGTTATACAGACTATCTCATCTACTGGTAACTTGGTTTTTATGTTTGAGCTAAGCTCAAAAGCAAAAAAGGAAACTCTCCAGACCCCAAAAATAGAGTCCAACAGCTACAGTAGTGAGCGGGAATTGGAGATACACAGAGAAGTTCATTGCCAAAAGAGCCCACAAACCCAACAAAACAGGAAAAGTCATAGCTAAGAGACTAGAGATAATAAAGTAATCTAAAAAGAAAACTAAAATAGGTATATTTTAAAATATTCAAAGATATAAACAAGAGAACCTTTTTAAAAATTAGATAATATTATGATATTGGCAACAGGCCAATGTGAAAATAAACCAAGTAAAAATTCTAGAAATAAAAACCTCAAAAAGATGGGTTAAACAGCAAACAATGTAGCTGAAGAGAGAATTATTGCCTGGAAGATATCAGTCAGAACTCAGGGCAATAAAGAGATGGAAAATATAAAAAGAAGATAACGGACATAGAGGATAAAATGAGAAGCTCAATATCAAATAGGAGTCCCATAAGGAAAGAATAAAGAAAGTGATGAAAAGGCATTATTCAAAGAGAATATGGTGAGAATTAAGATGTAAGACCTCAGGGTCTTAGCAGTTAAGTGCGCGTGCTCCGATACTGGCGGCCCGGGTTCAGATCCCGGGCACGCACCGACGCACTGCTTCTCTGGCCATGCTGAGGCCGCGTCCCACATACAGCAACTAGAAGGATGTACAACTATGACATACAACTATCTACTAGGGCTTTGGGGGGAAAATAAATAAATAAATAAAAGATGTAAGACCTCAAACTGAAAAGGCACATTAGCCCCAAGCAGCATAAATAAACAAATTTATCTAAACACATGGAAGGGAAATTGCAGAACATCAAGGTCAAAAAAAAATCTTAAAAAGCAAATCAGAGATAAAACACAGATAAACTAAAACAACAAAAGCAGCAAACTTTTCATCAAAGCAAGATATCAAAAGATAGGAATATCTTCAAAGTGCTGAAGAAGTTGGTATACAGCCAGGGAAATTATTATTCAGAAATGAAGGCAAAATAATCATTTCAGACATACAAAGACTGAGTTTATTACCAAGCCCCTCATTAAAAGAACTAATAAAAGCAACAATACTTTAACAATAAAAAAATAAATCCAAAAGAGTAGAATGACCAGGAGCAACAAATATAATAAAGCATATTGTTACTGGGTGAATACATGAATGAATGAATGACAGAACCAAGAAAAGAAAGGATTTATTTTGAATAACCTGATTAAATATAATAAAAATGTTTCCATGTAAATTATTCTTTTTCTATAATGCCTCTTTTTATAGCAGCATAGTATTACATTACATAGAAATTCCATAATTTAATCATCTATTGTCTATTTAGGTTGTTTCCAATTTTCCACTATTATAAACTACACCACAGTGTAACTACCCTCCTTACACTTAAATCCATACTCCCATCTATGATTATTTGTTTAAAAGAGATACCTGGAAATAGAATTAATAGGTACACACATTTTTAAGGCTTTCATACCAAATGTCCCAAAAAAAGGTTGTGCGTATTTACATTCCCACTAGCAACATATCAAAATGTCCATTTATCCATACTCTAACCAATACTTGGTATTATAATTCTTCTTAGACATTTGACTGGTAACAAAACTGGTGTCTCATTATTGTCTTATTTTGCATTCCTTAAATTACTAATGGGATTGATTTATTAGCCATTTGCATTTCCTCTCTCATGAATTGCCTGCTTGTCCCATGCATCTGATTTACTACCTAGGATGTCTTTTTCTTATTATATTCAATATATAATAGACTCTTATAAATTACCAAATATTTGTCTAACATTAATGTTTCCCAGTTTATCACACTGCCTCTCGTGTTTTCTTCTACTATGCAGATTATATACTGTAGGAGGATATATTTATATCTATCTCCATTCCAATCAAAATGTATTTGAACATACCTGTTACTCAATAGATGCTGATGGAACTAAAATATTTCTTTACATGGCTCTTCTTCACCATCTTACCACTCTAGTCAAACATCACAAGATGCATACATAGCACATTACAACAGTGTCTTAATTGGCCTGCATTAGATTCTTTCCTCTCTCCAATTTTTCCCCACAGATTACCACCAGTTAACATATCTAAAACACCAATTGCAACATGCTCTTCCTTTGAACAAAAACTTTCAAGAAAATACAATGTTCATAAGTAGATCCACCCAATCTATCAACACCCAATCTCCACTTTTGGCTTTGCAACGATGCTCCCTCTGTCTAGAGGCTCTTTTATACCCCAACTGCCTCTAAGCTTTACATATCTGTTGAGATACAACTCAAATGATCCTGCCTTCTTTTCCACTAATCAGTTTATAGTGTACTGAATAAACCTCAATTATTGAATATTTGGCTTCTTTTCACTGTTCCGCTACACTATGATAATATCAAAATATCAAGAGTGATATTTCCGGTTCAGAGTTATGCATGACTGCCCGTCCTTTCCGTGCCCAAGGAAAATCTCCTGCCCCATCTCGCAGGGAACACATTCTGACCAAAGAAACTCCCAAGACACTTTTCCAACTCTTGGTCTCCTTCTGGCCAGTATTTTTCTCTTCTCTCTACCATTTCCATTTTTATAAAATGCCTATATAAAAGTAAGAGAATGTAATATTCAAATAATTGCATAAATCTTGATGTTATTGAAACAGAAAGTTGTCCAGCAGTGGTTCTGATCATAAAATAGCTCAAATAATGTTTGTAAGCTGTTAAGAGAAGGTCTTAATTCAATACACAAAATATGGTTTAAAAGTATGATTGAATAATGAGTGAAAAGTGTATTTCAGCTTTCTTGATTTTTTCAGTCAGAAAATTGGAACATATTTCTGATATAATTAAAACACAGGATAAAAAATACATTTTTATTAACATCACAACTGTGTAAAACAAGCCTATGAAAAAAACAAAACACGCAAAAGTGCCTAATTTCTCACAATTCTGTAGAATTACTTTTAACATTTTTTTAAAGCCTAATGGAAGATTTGGGCTCACAGAATTGTTCTGTATCATTACAGTGGTGGTAGATACACAATTATACATATTTGTCAAAACTCAAAGAACTGTACACTACAAAGAGTGAATTTTTGTAAGTTAGAAAAACAAAAACAACGACAAGATGTGGGGGAAGCCAAAATAGCATACAAACCATAAAAAATAAAATTAACTGTATTACAAATGAATAGCATAACCACACTGAAAGCAGTGGGAGAAGAAAATAACTAATCTAGGTAACTTTGGAAAACAGTACTGTAACTAGATACTACAGGGCTAAAGACACAAAGAACTACACACAACTATACTGTACTCTAGTTAGTAACTGGTTTCTCATAGAAGCATGGGTTAGAACTCCTGAAAGCACTTTATGTGTATACTAGGATTGAACAAATAAGAAAATATTTTGTAGAACATGAAAGCCAGATTTCTCACTGTCAAGGAAAGATAAGCGGCAAGACTAGAGTGAACCCTGTGGTGTTAATTACAATTGGAGGTATCAGAATGAACTTTTGTTTTTTAAAAATATATATACTGACATATATATACAGACATATGTTGTATATATATGGCTGTGTATATATACATAAAAATAAGTACAAAAATAAATATAAATCTTTGTGTATGTATGGATACATATATATGTGTGTGTATATATATCTCCATGGAATATGTGGATGTGGAGAGAGATATATATATTTTCCTAGCTGTCTTCTGCCAGGCATTAACAGCAATGATACCCCAGTAGCAGTGAGCATACCTAGCACCCAGATCTTGGTGTTTAAATACCACTCTTCATAAAAAAGAAACCAGGTGTCCTGGGGGAAGTGGTTGATTCCAGGGCTGGGGCAGGGAAAACACAAGATAACCCTGGAGCATCTTATGGTGCCAGAAAGTAAGGAAGTTCTCAAAAAAGGATAGGGTCCTATCAAAAGGGCACAAGAAGCAACCAGAAAAAAATCCCAGTGGCTAAAGCTGGAACACTTTGAGACATAAACTAAATAACAAAAGTGTAGAATAATAACCAATGGAAAAATAAATGAGTCCATACTGATACAAATAAATATATGAATAAAATAAATAAATGGGAAAAGAGGCAGTTCTTCCTTTTAATTCTCCAATTAATAAATGAAGAAGAAATGACAGAAACAGAAAATCACCATTAGAACATCACAGTAATAACTACTGAAGGCAAGACCCATCAATGGACGATAAAATCAGCAAGCGCAAGTGTGAGGAGAAACAGGATACTTGCATAGTTTAAAAGTTCTGCCCCAAGATATGGATTAATTACAAAAGGAGAAATAGCAACTTTAGAGAAGCCCAGCAGACACTACCCTAACCAAGTGATCAAGAGTAACACCAAATGTGTCATATCACGCACCCGCTCATATGATGAGCTGAGAAGGGCACCTACTCTTCTGTAGTGTCAACGAAAGTGCATAACCTTAATCTAATCATGATAAAACATCAGACAAAACCCAACTGAGGGACACTCTACAAAACCACTGACCAGGACTCTACTCTTGAAAAGTTAAAGGTCATGAAAGGCAGGAAAAGACTGAGGAGCTGTCACAGATTGGAAGAGACTAAGGAGCGATGCCAACTAAGGGCAACGTGGGATCTTAGATTGGATCCTGGAACAGGAAAAGGACACTAGTCTAAAAAATGATGAAATCTTTATAAAGTTGGTAGTTTAGTTAACAGTATTGTACTGATGTTAATTTCTCCCTTTTGGTAATCGTACTATAGTTATATAAGGTGTTAACATTAAAGAAAGTTGCAGAGAACTCTGTACTACTTCCCTAACTTTTCTATAATCGTATAATTATTTTAAAACAAAAAGCCTTTTTTAAAAAATATATATGAACTGATGTTTCACATAACACGGGTCAAACATCTACAAGTCCAAGAACTACAATCATATCAGCTGCACTAACACTTTTGGGGGGTGGGGGGGAGTGCCAGGTGCTTTACAAACTTGATCACTCAGTGCTAACAACTATTATCAGCTCTGTACCATAATACTCATGTTTCCAACGAGGAAAAAGTACTGGGAGGTTAACTACATTACTTGAGAGTATTTATAAGTGAAAAGCCCCATTTCTCAGAAAAAGTCCAAAATCGCTGGCAACCCCCCTCCTCCCCCGCAAAGTGATGCACACCTTCCATCAGCTTAGAGCTCCCACATTGGTGGCACGGGATTTCCTCAGGCACGTCGCCCCGTGTTTCTGACTGGGGGGCGGGGCACTGAATTTGGAAAGGAAAGTCAAGGCCCTTGGTCCCACCCTATGGTCTCTCTGAGCCTCTGGTTCCGAATTCATAAAAGGAGGAAGTGAAGGTGGACCCGGTACCTTCTGCGGACCACCTCCCGGTCTGACTGACAGCAGCTCCGACCCCCCGCTCCCTGTCCTCCCCTCTCCACCCCCCGAGCCTCGCATCATCCCCCGCAGAGTCACCCACGGCGCACCTGGGCCACCCGCACCGAACGCCCCCATCCGAAAGCGGATGTGCGGGCGGGTCTCGAGACCGAGACGCCAGCGACCCTGACGACCTCGGCCCCCCGTGCGTCACGGGCAGGGCAGGCGCAGGAACTTTTGCGGCCCGCGACCCCGGGAGGCCACACGCTCGCCCCGTCGGCCGCCTCCCTATACCCGCTTCAAACAGCGCTTCCAAAACGAAACCGCCACTTCTGGGAAACGAGAGGAGCTCCACGGCGCTCGCACTTCCGACCTGATGCCCCCCTTCCCGCGGGACGCCTCTCCTGCGCGCCAAGGCGGCGCCTCGCCCGCCGCGCCCGTCAGGGCCTGACGCCCCCGAAACGACCTCCCGCGAGCCCCTTACCTCCGGCCGGGGCGCTGGAGGCCGGTCGGTGCGCACG